TTTTTTATAAACATAGCAGTTTCAGAGAAACTGCTATGTTTATAAATGGGTTAATCCAGCCTCTAAACCTCTAGTGGCTGTCTCATTGACAGCCGCTAGAGGCGTTTGCGTGCTTCTCACTGTGAAAATCACAGTGAGAAGACGCCAGCGTCCATAGGAAAGCATTATGAATGCTTTCATACTGGCTGAATGTGCGCGCAGCTCCTGCCGCACATGCGCATTCAGCCAAAGAGGAGGAGGAGGAGAGCTCCCGGCCCGGCGCTGGAGAAAGGTAAGATTTTAACCCCTTCCTCTCCCCAGTGCCTGGCGGGAGGGGGTCCCTGAGGGTGGGAGCACCCTCAGGGCACTATAGTGCCAGGACAACAAGTATGTTTTCCTGGCACTATAGTGGTCTGTGGCGGAACCAACCTCGCCACTGTGCACTGGAGAAGCCTGGTTGCTCACCTGCTCCCTTTAGATTATGGCCCTGCAGTTCAGAGCTGTTATTCTCCCTGCTGAAAGGTTTATTCGTGCCTTTCTGCCAGGGTGTTCGATAGATTCCATCTACCGAACAAACTACTGAACAATGGACCACCTGGGAGCTGGAGTGTGCCGTCAATTGACCGCCCAGAAGCTGCGGTTAACCGCAGCTTAATTGATGAACGCTGGGTGGCCTTTGTTCGTCTGCCGAACACGTGGCAGCGGCCATTTTACCTCCTGAATGGCCAGCGGTGTTCAGCGCCCAAACTATGGAACTGAAAACGGACACTTATTGGCGCGAACACCGCTGAGCCGCCAGCCTCCTTACCTTCCCATTCGGTAAGCAGAACCGAATGACTGTTCATTCGGTAGTTTCGCCGGATGAACAGCATCCCCCAGATAGCTAAGCCATGGAGCCTATTCGTGTAACGAAAGACAATGGGAAAGACTTTGGCTCCATGGCGATTGAACTTTATGTATGTGATCTGAGCGCCATTCGGTAGTAATGTGCGCTCAGATCTAAGCTATCTGGGGATATGTAGAATGTATATGTTTTAGGTAATGTGTTTGTATGTAATTTTATGTCTTTTACTGTATTGTTACTGCCATGTGGTTAATGGAGTTTTGCCTCTGTCCTGGGAGATAAGTGGATTACTTCCCAATTATCTCCAGGACAGAAAGGAGGGATTGTGATGTAATTGTGGGAGTGTTTAAAGGTGTATGTCTGTGATTGGCTAAGAGCCAATATGTTTCCCAGTTTCCCATTTGGTCCCCTAGGGGAGTGTCCACCAGGTGGGAGACCTGCATAAAAGCCGGGCAGTTAGCCCCAGTAAACCAGATTCTGCTAGACCCTCAAACCGAAGTGTCGTCTCGTCTTTGGGGGGAGATTTACTGTATGCTGTTAGAGACTGATTGCCAGGAGTGTAAACCGCTTGGGGGCTTTTCCTGTTCGTCTGCTAACAGCTATTCGTGTGTCTCCAGTTCGGGAGTTTGGAGCACTACTTGATATGCAGGACGGGAATTTCAAGTATTCCCTTGGTTGCAGTTTGGGAGTTGGTGAATTTGTGGGTTTGCAGTTCGGGAGATTGGTGCTTGCAGTAGCTGTCTGTGCATCTGAAAAAGGGGAATATCGCCTAAATGGTTTTTAACCTCTTGTATGCAAAACGGTCCGTTACATGGTCCTTTAAGGATAAACAGATGTATCGTGAATTGTTGTGCAAAGAATGCTGTGCTTATGTTGAAGTTGAAGATTTCCATTCTTGTTTAAATAAGTTCTTCATGTAAAGTCTTTGAGTGTAAAATGCCTTTTCTTACATGTATTTATCAATGTATATATGCACATTGGGATACCAGTTTTTTTTTTCTTTGTTTTTTTTATGCCAGTTTTTACAAGCTAACAAGATGAATAAATGCAGTCTTGGTTTTAGATGCACAGCTAATTATGTCTGCTTGTTATCTAGCTGTCTAGCTAAAGTGTGTGAAGACTTGTGAATTCTAAAGTATAAATATAGATAATGTTTACCGCTACTCCTGTTTTTGCATCTATTGGCCTCCTTTTTTTCCTTGATCTGTGAACCAAATGGCATGAAAATGCTCCAATCTGTATACTACAAAATATATACGTAATACTATATTATGTATATATTATACAGTAATCATATTGGCCCATTTTCGCTGCTTTTTGGTTCATCTGATTCGTTTCCCGAATCAGTTTGACATTAACAAAATTCTGCCAAACCAGACAGACATTCAATGTCCTGAAAAAATATATTTTTTTTCATAAACCCCAGTTAATATCTCTGGTCTTCCTATTTCTATGCTGGGAGTGAAGCAGAGAAGATCATAGAGACTAACTCTTGGCTTTCAAACACTGTCTGACCCAAGGTGTACAAATATGGCTGAAGGATCCTGTCATATACTAAAGGTAGGGATTGGTTTTTCTCACCTTTTTACAAAAACTTCATTTAAAAAATAAACCATGGAATCCAGTGTGTAATCAGCAGGCACATGGCATTGGTGATACCACCCCTTATACTTAATATTTGCACAGCTTTTCAGAACATTGCACTTTAAATGAGTCGCTCACACTACGTGAGTGGGAACAATCTAAAGGGCAAGATTTTGCCTGCTTGTTCGCAGTGTTATCTTCACTTTGTTTTGTCTAGTTTGCATATTTTTAGTGTCTTTTTTAGACCAATAGGTAATGCAAATATGGACACGTTGTTCATAGAGGATTATAAACTAGAAATTAGCTGCAAGGCCAAAAAAAGGTGAACATTTTGTCTCTAGAATGCCTTAAGGAATGTGATTTTAGTGAAATGCGAGTGTCATGGTTTTCCTCGATAATGGGAAAAGTGAACTCAAATGTATATGAGTTCTGAGTAAGTACTAACTAAAGAGCAGTCTTGGACCTGATTGAGAATGTGACCATTCTCAGCATTCTCCCACACTCTGTTTTTTTTTTTTTTACATTAAATCGATCAGGGTTATTCACTAAAGATTAAATGGCCTCGAACCGAATGGGGCTAAACCATCCACTGCTGTAAAGTACAATTCAAACTGCAGAATCCTGGACATTGTTGATGCAATTGATTAATGTCTGCGTTTTGTAAATCAGGCCCCAAACAGGCCTGGATTTGGTCTGATCTTCAGCCAGACCGAATGCCGACCTGTTTGCCCTCTGGCTTTTAAGCACTTGCTAGCCAGTCAACACATAAAAAAAAAGTTTAAAAAACTAAAACATTACTAAATAAAAATCCAATAGAGATCAATAGGACCCCATATTACTATAATGGAAGTAATGTATCTCCATATGCCCCCACATTTCAGATGGGGCATGTCTACTCTGTATTAAAAAGTAGTGACTGGGCAGTCATTGCTGCCCAAGTTGCTAGAAAAGGACCCCATCCTGTGAAATAACATGGGATGGACATTTTGTTAGAGCGCTCTGACAGCCGAGTCTCACTTCTCTCGAGACTTGACTCTCAGAGCACTCTGGTTGGTTTACTAATGATTATTAGTCGGAGCTATTATTGGCTGAGAGTGTTAGCAGACTGCTTTCAGCCTATCTCAGTGCCCATTGCAGTTATGAATTGGGATGACTACAAGGAAGTGTGTAATCTCTGCCTTTGCCATACCTCCAATAGGGGCCAGGCAGTGGGTGGCCAGGGACCCTTACTTAGTGAGTGTTAATGTGCTTGAAAATAATTTTACATTAAAATGAGGCAGCAATTCACAGAGATTAAATAATTATAGTGATTACAGTGTTTTTTTAAGCTAAACAGGTTTTTGAATTTTGTGTTTGTGTTTGTATTTTTGTTTGTGTGGTACACATACTCAATAGTGCTTAACTCATATGTTCATGATCAGTAGATCCCTTCGTTGTGTGTATCTCTACACTGTAGCATAATTTCTTCTGTGCCACAAAAGCACAAGACAGAGACTGACAAATTAAAAAAATGTTTTATTGTTTACTTTCTTTTCTTATTTTTTGCTTTTTTTTTGCATGTTTTTATAATACTTAACAAGCTAAATCTCAGTGTACTCATTTTAAAACACTTTCTAGATAAATAAAATAATACTAGTAAATAATAGTAAAAGTAAAGCACAATGACTCCCTCTTGTGGTGAAATGTTTTATTTTTCACTGATTTACAGTGCATATTCAGTTCGATTTATTTTTGTTAATAATATTGTACTGTGGTGTAGAATTCAATCTGCTGTTATTATGCTTAGTGTGACCAGCATGAGTGTAAAGCAGAAAAAATGTGGAACATAGAATGTAGTTTGTGACACTGTGTGTGTTCTCCCTCATGTTGAATTTAATAGGGCATTCTGATCTAAAATGTTCTCCAAAGGAATCATGAACAAATTGGATCTATTTTTGGTTACATAACTTGGTCTGATGTTACTAGGAGAGGAACACGTTTGCTGATTATAGCCTTTCTGAGGATGACTGGATTTGAAGAAGTAGATGTGATTCTGCTACTTTCTGTACCGGGCCAATATCCATACTGAATTAAGAGTGCATTCATGCATGACATCTCAATCATAAATATGTTTTTTTTTATTTTTTTATTTTTTGGTTTTTTTTAATTTTAATTAAGTGGCACCATAAATCTTAATCTAAAATAGTCACATGCTCATAACTTGTTAAAAGAGGGGATATGCAAGCATCTTGTCTAGTTCTGCTTGAGATGGAATTTAAGTTCTGAAACTATAAACAAATCACATATTGGTGAACATTTCAAGGAGTGCAGAGCACTCAATCTACCTTTAAATCTAAGTGAAGAAGGAATAACCTTCTAAAATACATTACTCCAGAGCAGGAAGCAATAAAGAACACATCTTGCAAATTCACATTAGTTATCATCTGACAAAAGACACTAACGGCAGACACTAGAACAGAATCTTTATTTGTGTGATCTCCAACTCCGTTTGAGTAGATCAGAATGGACAGCTCCCAAAACTTACACAAATTCAATTGTCTGATCAGATTTAGTAGGCTCTTCAGTTATATACTCGATATAGGGACTGAGAGTGGGGAGTTTCTCGAAACACAGAGAGGGCAACGTGTAGCTGGTCACCGAGTTTTCCTCTGGAATATAACAGAATAGGTCAGTGTGAAGTAAGGAGCAATACCTACATAGCACCTAACTTGCTCTTCAATGACAAAACTTAAAAATAAAGAATATAGCCTTCAGTTTTATTCTGCTTTTCAAACCAAGTCTGGGTTAGTGTGCAGAATGGTCGTCTGACTCACTAAAGCCCACATTATATGTCTCTGTACACAATTATTATTATGTTATTTATATAGCGCCATTAAATTCCGCAGCGCTTTACAATGGGTGGACGAACAGACATGTAGTTGTAACCAGTTGGACACACAGGAACAGAGGGGTTGAGGGCCCTGCTCAATGAGCTTACATGCTAGAGGGAGTGGGGTAAAATGACACAGAAAAGGTAAGGATAGTATTAGACTAGTGACAGTTGCAGAAGAGGAATCAGTCAGGTGCTATTCACAGTTTAATTGATACGCTTTTATGAAGAAGTGGGTTTTTAACGATTTTTTGAAGGAGTGGAGACTGGGTTAGCATCTAACGGAGGAGGGAAGCGAGTTCCAAAGGAACAGTGTAGCCCTCGAGAAAACTTGAAGGCGAGCATCAGAGGTGGGAGTACGGACAGAAGATAGACGTAAGTCTTCAGCAGATCGTAAGGGTCTAGACTTATAGTTATACCATGTATAACTATACTAAATCTGCCTGTCTCTGCATTACTCAGACGATAAATGGCTGCTTTACTCCAGTACTCTGTGCGGTGTCTGCATTACTAGGGCTGTTCCTGGATGCTTCTATATTACTCTAATTATTAGTGACTGTCTCGGTCTTGGTCAACTATACTTGACAGTCTCTATATTACTCTTCCAGGGCAATTCTCAGTTCAGTAAATAACCCTCACAAGAACAGTGGAAAGGTCACGTATAATCTAAGGAATACTGCCAGGTATACAGTTATAATGCACAGTTTTAAGGTAAAGTCTCATTATATATGGATGTTTCCGCTTTATTCCGGATATAACTGTTTATCTATCCATGAGTCAGACTATTCCTAGATGTCGTTTAAATATAGTACAATGCTATAGATGTCTCTGCATTATTCAGTAAATAATCTATATTACTCCAAATTACTACATTATATCTTCCTGTCCTATGTATTAAGAAAGATTGATATTGCTGTGCATGAAACACGATCGATGCATTTAATAAACTCTGCAACATAAGCATAGGGTCTTGTGCTTTTAAACTGAAACTCTGTGATAGAAGTGATGGTTTCTATAATTTTAGAAAGATGGAATTTGCTGTAGAAAGTTCTATGAGTCTAGAAAGATTATCTCTATCGAAGAAGGGAAGGGTTAAAACTTTTAGAACAATTTACTTCTAATTTCAGAAAGACAAACTGTGTTATATAAGGGCACATTGTGCATATTTAAAAAGATTGGCTCCGTTATATAAAGATTAGTTGCATTACCTACTCAGAATGATGTACTCTGTTGTATAAACATCAGTTCCTGTGGTTTTTAGAACTACACTGGATTCCACTAGACGTGCTTTGAAAAATGAACTCTGTAGCCCAAGGCATGGTCTGTATGCTTTCAAAAAGCTGGACTATGCTAGACATAATTATATAAATCATTTTATCTGAATTGATGTGTTTCTCTAATTTTACCTGGAAAATAATAGTCGGACACTTTGACAACAGCAGGTTTCAGATTCATCACTATAAAATTCTGCACTGTGTCTATGGTATACGTTTGTTCTATATTGGTTAGCTGAGGAAAGAAGGAATATTTAAATTAATATAAGGGGGTTCATGCAATTATAGTAAGTTTTTTTTCTTGTTTAACTCTTTAAAGAAGAATATATTTTTCCTGAAAAAAAAATCCTAATAACACTCACAAGTCGAAAAATAATTAAATCATATTGTGTATGACGTGTATTGATAACAAATTGTATTGTATTGCAATATTACATGTATATATGGAGTAACGTAACTTGACATGCATGTACAAAGAGAGCCATGTGGCAATTAAACCAGTATGGACATGTGCCTTAGACCTTCTGGTTGGACTTTAAAGAAACAAGTCCATTCACTATGTATATACTAGTGAGAGGATAACATGGTGGTTTTGTCCAGATATGAAGGGAGAAAGGATAGAAATAATGGATGAATTACAGTGATGTAAAAATTATTTAAAATAAAACCACTCACAGATGTGAACTGTCTAACAGATACGACACATCATCAATTAAATCAATAACATTTCTAAAAATGCCACGGTACAGCTGTATTGCATGCAGTCTACAATCAATTTACCAAATGCTGGCTTGAAAGGTTATATTTTTACTAAAATAAATAAATAGATAAATAAAATATATATATATATCTATAATGAGCTCCATGTCACTAGTTGTGTATCCATTTCTATTTGTAGGTCACAGCTGGGACTATCAAAATTCAGAAACACACTTTTTGTGTTTTAACATTTACATACGGTAAAGTTTTCTATGGCAATACCCGAAATAGCAGGATATGTTCACACAGTGCTCACCTTTTCTAGGTAAATAGTAACAGAATTTGGCGTTGTGCTGACCTTCTTTAACCCATGCTTGTATTTAGGCTAACAAAATAAAACAGATATTTTACAGTCAACGTATGCTCTTCTGCATTGATTTATGAATGGCATCCACCCAAACAATTAATTTTCATTCTGTTTAGACGCATAGATTGTACATTTTTATAGAATTATTGTAACCTTGTCTTCTAATAGGATGAAAGATGTAAAGCAGTTCACTGGGTCTAACTCCTTATCTCCCACTGTAATCCTCGGAAAGTTCAACAGAAATTGGAATCATTGTTGCTTAGAGACACTATTGATACCAAGACACTTCAGCTCATTGAAGTGGTGAAGTGGTCTGGGTGCAATGTCCCTGTCACACTTAGACCTGCAATGTAAAACATGGCACGTTTTGAAACTGCAATGTTTACATTGAAGTGCTAAGACAACCTCTACTGGACTTTAAGTCACCTAACTGATGCTGGACTGTGCATGAGGACATCCAGCATCAGTGAAAGCCCCATAGGAAAGCATTGAGTCAATGCTTTCCTATAGGAAGGGCCTAATGTACTCGCAGCACTCACCACACCTGTGCATTAGGTCCCCTTATTGAATGACATCGGAGGAAGCGGAGCACCGAGCCAGCGCGAGGGACATTGGCGCTAGAATCTGGTGAGTAAATAAAGAATGTTTAACCCTTTATGTGCCACAGGGAGGGAGCCACAAGGGAGGGGAGGGCACCATATTGTCAGAAATACAACTTGGTATTCCTAATACTATAGAATCCGTTTAAATGAAAAGGGATTTAGTTTACGGTTTATCAGCAAAACCTCTCACTTCCCATTCCTCCTTTGTCTCTCTCAATCCATTTCATGCTATATCCCTCCTCCACCCTATAGATAACTACCTCTCTCACCAAGCTCAATTTTCTCAGTTTATATTTCACAAGTGAGTGTGGATGTTGTGGTCCATATCACAAAGGTTTATAAAAAGGAACACAATAGTCACCAAATGCTTAATGAAGCCGTGTAGATCGTGATTCTGAAGTCTAACTTCTCAATTATCTGTCATATAGGGGTTAAATCACTTTTGTTTTTGTCAATGCAACCCTAGCCACACCTCCCATGGCTGTGACTGACACAGCCTGAATGGAAAAAAATCGTCAATTGGCTGTTAACTTACTTTAGAAGTTTTGATCTCCTGCTCTGGAAATTGAACTTTAATCACTTTACAGGATGCCCCTGCAAGGTCTAGCAAGCTAAAAACCATGCTGAAAAAATAATTTGTATATTTAACAGACTGCAATAAATATCAAATCCTTCTTCCAGTGTTTCTCACACTGCTTGACCTCAGGGTATTTAGTGTTTCCCTGCACTCCACAAATTTCGAAGTGTGTACACGTGAAGCCAAAGGTGTGTCTTCAAAAGGTGCTTTATTTTGTATCAATAAACACTTTCACAAAATTAAAACTTTAAAAATAAATAAATGTACCAGATAAATATCTCCGGATGACTTGGCTTCACGTGTACACACTTCAAAATCCGTGGAGTGTGGGGAAACACCAAATACCCTGAGATCAAGCAGTGTGAGAAACAATGGAAGAAGGATTTGGACATCCTATAAAGGTCCACAGGTGCTTACCATTTGAGTCATATGAAATCTATGGCTCTAGGCTTGTGAGTGATATCCCTCTTGTTTATAGTATATATTTAACTTGTTCAGAATATTTGGCACTATTGTTTCGTATTTTGTATCCACAGATACATACTGAATACCCATTTTAGAAGCTCCACCTTATGTATGTATTTTGTTTAATGCAAAAAGCCTTAAGGGAATGATTCCACTCACTAGAACAAATAGAATAAGCTGTAGTTGTTATGGTGACTGTAGTATCCCTTTAATGATAGGGAATAAGATAACATAATATTAACAATTCTCCATCACTCTAAACTTTGGATTTTGTGAAAAAATGTACATTCAATATGTTGAGACACGGCACATTTAAAATGGGGATTTACCTTTAAAGCTGTGTTATCACCAGGGCTGAATCCTGACAGCATTTCAACTTCTATGAGAACCATATTAGACTCTTTTCGACTCCCAGTGTAGCTGCAACAATAGATATGAATACAATCTAATCATATACTTTCTAGAGCAGAAAAACTGAACACTAAGATCTCATGAGAGACTGGTTACATCTGCTCTCCAGACTGACAGAATAGTAGTAGCTTCCCACCCTCCCTCCCTCCCTAATTTATGTTATTTATGCTTTTTATTCTAGCTCTGTTTTTCTTGTCACAGCGGGCAGGTTGTGTCCTTGCCAATCAGGGTTGGATCAGGAGTCTATGGGAAAGAGGGTAGAATGGGGTTAATGGATGTGCCCCCTCAACTAAAGGCCAGCTATTGGTTAGCACTATGTTGATGTAAGCAGGGCCGGATTAACATAGGGGCTGATGGAGCTGCAGCTCCAGGCCCATGGAATAGGCCCATTGATAAAAAAAAATGTTTATTTTTCTTTTTTTTTTTTTTTACACACTACTCTACACACCAGGTATTTCTCATGTATTTCTTATGGTTGGAAGGTATTTCTCAAAAGTATTTCTCAGGTATTTGAGACTGCCTAGCCGGTGCCGGTATTGCAGTAATACCGCCAATACAAATGATTGTCTCAGTATAAACAGAGATTATTCTGCAATACCAGTGCCAGCCAGTAGGGGTCGCTGTTTGTGTGGAGAGAGGCAGGGATAAGAAGTTTCAGCATCTTCCTCCCTGCCTCTCTCTACACAATGATCCGCAGGGGAGCAGCTATGCACAGAGAGTCCAGACAGCAGCTCCGAGCCTGCGAGACATAGGGACGGTGAGAGACTTGGGGACGCTGAGACATTGGGACACTGGGAGACATAGGGACACTGGGGAACATGGGGACCCTGAGATACTAAGGACACAGTGGCCCCATGTCTCCCAGTGGCCCATAGTCTCTCAGTGTCCCCATGTCTCCCAGCCAGTGTCCCTCATGTCTCAGTGTCCCCATGCCTTTCAGTGTCCTTGGTGTCTCTCAGTGTCCCTGGTGTCTGTGTCTCTAGTCTCCCAGAGTCCCCTAGTCTCTCCCAGTGTCCCAATGTCTCTAAGTGTCCCCTAGTGTCATCGAAACACTTTGAGACATGGGGACATAGATTCTAAGGGTCACTGGGAGACATGGGGATACAAACATTAGGGGACACTGGGTGACATGGGGACACTGGGACACTAGGGGACACTGAGAGACATGGGGACACTGAAAAACACAGGGAGACATGGGACACTCCCATTGTCCCCATGTCTCCCAGCCAGTGTCCCCAGTATCTCAGTATCCCACCATCTCCCAGTGTCCCTGGTTTCTCTCAATGTCTGTAGTGTGCCAGTGTCCCTAGTGTCTCAGTGTTTCCTAGTCTCCCAGTGTCCCCACGTCTCCTAATATCTCAGTGTCCCCAAGTATAAAAGAAAAAATCTCAGGCACTCACTGTGATAGATTTAAGCAGGTTTATTGAACACTGCAACGTTTCGACCTGTACCCAGGTCTTTATCAAGTGTCCCCTATGTAGCGGATGGCATTGGGCTGTCCTTAAAACTACAGTTATTATTGTGTATTCGGTTAAATTGTATTCATGTATGTGAAAATGTATGCAGCATTCGATCGATTGTTCGGTGGAATCACTCCAGTCATTATGAGAATGAAACTACCGAACAGTCAGACCACCCCAGTAGGAAGTATGCCTCCAATTACCGTTTGCAACAATGTTGCGAACGGGTAATTGGCAATCTGTGCAGTGGGTTCTTTGTTCTCGGGGTGGCCGCCATTCGGGAAACGAACACGTGGCGGCGGCCATTTTAAAACTCCCGAACAACAGTGTTTTGCCGTCGAGTGTCTGGAACCCAAATCGGACCCTCGGCTAGGCAAACACCGCTGAGACCTCCACACTGCCCTTAAATTCATATCGAAACTACCGAACGGCCACCTGTTCGGTAGAAAGAAACAACCGAATGAGGGGATTTATGCGAACCCTCCCTAGTCTCCATAGCATAAGCCTTTCATGCAATTTATTCCCTTCTTCCGTGACTGACCGCAGGGCCAAAACTCATGGAACCAATTACGGCTGGTCCCTCCAGCGCGGTCGTTCTTTTTATTACATCCACAAATTTCCCGAACCCCTGGTCCGATCTGGGTGATTTTGGGATATGTCTCTTACCCAGATCGGGGCTACCAGGGGATGTAATATTTAGAGGGGTACCCCTAGGTTTAAGGGTACATCCAGAAACCCAGGGAATTTGTGTCCTGGATAAGGGGATTATGAGTCAGGCTAAGGGGAGGAGATTTGTGGGAGGTTACTATAATTGGACACTGTACTAATGATTGTAAATCCCTCCCTTGCATGAGAGAATGCTTTATAAGGCAGCTGTGTGATTAAAAGTTCAGCTCTGTTCCTGATGCTGTGTGTCGTCCAGTCATTGGGATTGAGGTTGGGATATTCTTGGATTATTTTGTCTGCTGAAAACCTTGCCTTATGGATTTATAATACTTGTTCCTGAGCCTCACTGGGATCTTAAGTGCAGATAACCTGTGGAATACTAGATCTCCGCTACACCCTATGTATCACAGTGTCCCCTATGTATCAGAGGGTCTTAGTGCTCCATGTCTCCCAGTGTCCCTGGTGTCTCTCAGTGTTCGTAGTGTCTCAGTGTCCTTAGTATCTCAGTGTCTTCTAGTCTCTCAGAATCCCCTAGTCTCCCAGTGTCCCCATGTCTCACAGTGCCCCCAAGTGTCTCAGTGTCCCCTAGTATAAAAGAAAAAAATCTCAGGCACTCACTGTGATAGATTTAAGCAGGTTTATTGGACACTGCAACGTTTTGACCTGTACTCAGGTCTTTATCAAGTCTAAAGTGTCCCCTATGTATCACAGTGTCTCAGTGCCCCATGTCTCCCAGTCTCCCCTTGTGTCTCAAAGTCACCCAGTGTCCCCATGTTTCCATGTCTCTCAATGTCCCCTAGTGTCCTAGTGACAAGGGGACACTGGGATACATGGGGACA